TCCATGATCCACCTTGAGTTGGTTTTTGTATATGGAGTGAGGTGGGGATCTTGTTTAATTCTTCTGCAGATAGTTTTCCAATTTTGCCAACACCATTTGTTAAAAAGGCTGTCATTTCCCCACCTAACTGATTTCATCTCTTTGTCAAAAATCAATTGCCCATAAATAGTTGGGCTGATTTCCGGGTTCTCAATTCTATTCCATTGATCTATGTGTCTGTCATTTGTGGTTGGATTTTTGTAGGAGACTTGTTAAATGTAAGAATGATATGTATACCGTTTACATTTTGTTAGTTATAACTAAGCAGCCATCAAGGAGATTACACTAATTTGGGTTTCTATTAATGGTTCAGTAGAGTACATTCCTTGGAAAAGTGTATCAGGCTTGGCAAAGTAGGAGGCAGAGAAGAATAAGACTGCCTTGAGTTGGATTGATACAATGACAGCCACCAAAGGCTTAACCACAGTTGAGATTGTGAGGATGGTGTAGGATTGGTTAAAGGCTTTCCTTTGTTATACATAGAATTGCCGCCAATTAGAGTTGATTCAAGGACACTCAATAACAATCCTCCCTATTGGTCATGCCTTACCAAATATTTTGAAAGACTATTTTCCTTTATAGTGCCATTTAGAAGAATTATTAGCATCAAGCTTCTATTTTTATACTGCATTAGCCTTTGCAACTTGTGCATATATCTATGACTTTTATTTTTTCATTTAAAATATGGAATAAACAGACTTTTAGAAAAAAAGCGATATATTGCAGTTTTTAACTCCATGTTAATAATTTTTTTTTTTAAACTACAGGTGTCTGGCCCATGACTGAGAGAGAAGATGACTTGACAGTTTCTGCCCTCGTTTCACCTAATTTTGATTCAGTGTCTGTAGGTATATTTACATGTGTTAAAGGGGTTTATATTAATGATGGGCTCTGAGAAACTGGAGTCGCAGTGCCAGTTTAAATTATGGGCTTCCAAATAGAAGATTTTTTGGTGAATAACTAGAGGAACACATTTGTAGCCTCATGGATCTCTTAGAAAGTTCTACAGGAAACCTTCTAGTTAAGAAGAGGCAAGAGAAAAGGCAGAAGGAAGAACGGGAGGAAAAGTGATTCTTGTATTGATTCTGTTTTTTGCTCATATCTTTTTAGAGTATTAAGATTATTTTAATTATGAATAATACTATTCTATAATTTTTTAAATGGGAACGTGTATATGAGTCACTTAATTGAGGAATTGAGAAATTACAGTTCTTAATACATGGCCGAGTAGTGGATAAGTAATTTAAGAATAGATGGTTGAACTAGAAACTATTTTTCGTTTCATTTTGTGTGACTTCTGGTGGTACACCTGAACCAAGCCATAGTTTTTGAAATGACTCCCTCTGCACCTGATAGTTAGATACTGAACAGGATGACAGAAGAATAATTGATGCCTTTGAATTTTGATTTTGGAGAAGAGTATTACTTGGACTTCCAAAAAAGCAAACAAATCTTTCTTGGAGGAAGTACAATTCAGGCGCTCTTTAGAGACAAAGATAGTGAACCTTCGTCACACATTCTTTGGGTATATTTGCAGGAGGGGCCAGTTCTTGGAAAAGAGATCATGCCAGGAAAGGTGGAAGGTCAGAGGAAGAGAGGAAAATGCTTAAAAAAGTTAGATTGACTCAATCACTGTAACAGTGGGCTCAAGCATATGATGCAGGAAAGAGCTAGATTCGGATGAGTTCTTTACAGGGTAACTGTATGTTGTAATTGATTCAGTGGCATCTAATAGCAACAGAACAACTGGTGGTGCAGTGAGTTAAAGCTAAGTTGTTAATCAAATGGTTCTAACAACGAGCTCAGGAGAGCATGGTGAGGCAATCTTCTTCCATGACAGTTTACAGCCTTGGAAGTCATCTAGGGATGTGCTCCCCTGACCTAGAGTCACTATAAGTCAGAAACAACTCTATGGTAATGAATTTTCTCTTTGGTTTTGTGTGATACAGAGAAAATATTTTAGTCTCCATATTCTCTTCTGTAAAGTGGGAATAAAGATTGGATCGGCTTCATCACATTGTTATAATAAATGATTGCTGTCATCGTCAGGTTATAGTTGTCTTCATTCTATATTATTATCATCATCATCATCGCCATCATTACCCCTGCATCCCACTACTTGTCTTGTTCACTGCCATATCCTTAGTCTCTGCAATGTACTGGGTGTAGTCAATGTATGTTTATTCCATGAATGAATAGAAGACTGAGAAACAAGAGAGTTGAAAGGGGGACTGTATTTGGTTGCATTACCCCATTTCCTTTTTATTTGTCCATGACCATTAATTTGGTCTTGGTTGGCTATATCTCATTGATTACAATTTGGGCAAAATCTATTGTTTACCTGTGTCTTTACCAAAGTTGTTCAATAAATGCTGGAGATTATATTCACTGGATTTGCTTTATTTGAAGTCCATATCCTATAATTCTGCCTGGGAAATGACCTCAATATTTGAGCATCAGAGCATAACATAAGAAGTGATTGTCATGAGTTTTTAAAAAGATCAATCTTTTTTTAAAGGGCCAACCTGAGTTGTGATAAAAATTATGTTACCATTGCCATAACATAGTAAATTGAGTATACTTAAGAAAAAAAAAAGGGAATTTTTATGAAAGAAACATTCACCCAGCTGAGTCACATAGTAGAAGCACTGTTTTAAACATTGGCCATTCAGCACACGCTATTTCTCACTCTACCTGAAGGGTGTAGTTAGAATGGAACATTTTTGCTTAGTTAGCTGACAAATGTACACACATTTTCTTGCCTTGGAAATGATTATTTTTTTCCTTTGGGCAATGTATATAATTTTTTTCTAGGTTCTTTTAATTATAGGCTATTTGGAATACGGAATTCTCTTTCTTTTTTTCAGAAACATTTGGCATTTGTAGAAAAGGACCTTCTGTAGTAGCATTACATTATAATGTATATCTCCCTAGCAGCAAACTAGGGTGCTGTTTCCTCTCATCTAAAGTGTCTATTTCCAGCCTCATCTTTCCTGTCTTGCTATTTTTTTCTTAAGTAATTTTCTGGAAGTATCATATTCAGCCCTTTGGAAAACATTAGTCTAATGATTTATGTGTCAAAGATACTATAGTGTCCTATAACCATTTCTCCATTGCTATAATTTTATGTTCCCAAAAGACTGCTGTTCTTGATGTATCTTGGTATTTAGTTATGAGTTGAGAAGACTGAAAAACAGAAAGTTTGTCTTCTAGCTCTGTAGATGGCAAAGTGTGAAATATTTCCCAAGATTTAGGTATGACTGGATAAAAAAAGACTTTATTTTGAATCATTATTATGAAAGCACGCATGTCAGAAAAGTAATATTGTTTCTTCTTTCCCCCTTCATTTATACATTTTAAAATTTTTCTTATATTTTTTTAATAAAATATTTTATATTGGTTTGCTTATAAAGTTTGCATACATTGTGTTTCATACTAATCCTTCATTCACATTATGTTTCATATAATCATTCAGATTTATTATATTTTATACAATTAATCAACATTGAACTCTGGTAACCACTGTGCTACTTTTCAGATCCCCAGTGGGTCTTTCCACTTCCTTTACCCACTTCTCCCTCCATCTCTCAAATTGTACTACCTTATTATTTCTCCTCTGCCTATCCTCACCCCTCTGCTCATACCCTTCCCCAACCTTGGGTCCTCATACATTTTACTGGTTATCTATTTCTACAATAATGGTGTCATACAGTATTTGTTCTTATGGGACTGAGTTAGTTATACTACTCTCCAGTCACTTTCCAGTTACATGGTAATTTTCCACATCATTGCTACTGAGTGTTACGTAGTATTCCATTCTGTGAATGTACTACAATCTTTCTATTTATTCAAGGTGGTTGGATATTTGGGCTGTTTCCATGTTCTTGTAATGGTGAATAATGCTTCTGTGAACATTGGTATACAAATCTTCGTTTTTGTCTCAGTCCTAATTTTCTTGGGGTATATTCTAAGCAGTGGAATAGCTGGGTTATACAGTGTTTCTATGGTCAGCTTTTTGAAAAAAACTCCAAACTGCCATCTAGCGTTCTAGTGCCATTTTAAAATCTCATCAACAGTGTATGACAATTCTTACCTCTTCACATTCTCTCGAATGCATATTACTTGCTGTTCTGTTAAACTTTGCCGCTGCTATTGGAGTGAGATGGGATCTCATTGTGGTTTTGATTTACGGCTCTCTTATTGCCATTGATATTGAGCATTTCTTCATGTGTTGTTTGCCCATCTGAGTGCCTATCTCTGTGAAATGTCTTTTGCCTATTTTGTAATTGGGTTATCAATCTTTTTTTCTTGTAAAAGCTCAAGAGTGTTCTGTAAACTTTTGCTATGAGACCTTTGTCTGAGTTGTTAGTGTCAATTTCCCTCCCACCACCACCCTAGACAGTAGGTTTTGTTTTCACTCTGTTGGAAAAGTTTTTTATGTGCACAGAAATTTGATCTTTAGAAGGGCTCAATCATCAATTCTACCCTCTCCTGGTTATGTGTTTCTGGCTTTGTAGCCTTTTGTCAGCCTTTTGGTCCTACCTTTTTTTTTTTTTTGTTAAAAATATTTATATTTAGTATTTTTTTTCCACTAGTTTGTTTACAAAATTCTAATACAAATGTAAACAAATTCTTTCCGGTTCTCTCATCCCTCCACCCATTAAATTGTACAACCCAATGATTAATCCCCTCTTCCCCCTGTACATCCACATCCCTCTGCTTACAGCCTCTCCCACCCATCCTGGATCCTTATACTCATTCTACATGAAGGGTATTATACAATATTTATCCTTTTGGGATGGAGTTAGGTCACTCAGCATAATGCTTTCCAGTCCCAAATTAGGTAATCATTTACAAAGTTATTGCTCCTGTGTGCTACATAGTATTCCATTGTGTGAATGTACTATAATTTCCCAATCCATTTGTTTGTGGTTGAACATTTGGGCTGTATTTATTATTATAATTTATTTTATTAATTTATTAAATTCATTGAATTAATTTTGATATGCACTAATAAAAATGATACAATCTCATTTTAATTTTGTTTTCTAGATGTAAGAATCTGCTTATTGTTGTTGTGTTCCCTCAAGTGGGAACTGACTCGTAGCTGACCCTCTGGCAGGTTTTCAGAGGCAGTTGACTGCTTTGGGAGGAGATTGCCCATTCTCCCATGGAGCAGCTAGTGGCCTCGAACTGCAAGACTTGGGGATGTAGTGACAATTTTTTTTTGCCACTAGGCCACCAGAATTGTTCTCTGTATCTTTGTCATTGTTAAGTATAGTAGGACTCATAGCAATATTATGAACATCAAATATGAACCCTGCCCTATCCTGTGTCAATCTCATCCTCTCTGCCACACTAGAACTCATTGTGACAGACACGGTGTCAATCCATCTCATCCCTTCCTTTCCTAATCCTCCATTTTTGTGATCATGATGTTTTTTCTCTATGCACTGACCCCTACTAACTACCCAAAGTATGAGAGAGGAAGTTTCACCCTCTGTATCTTTAGTTCCATGTTATTAACCTGAATAAAGCATATGTTTGGAAGGTTGGAAATGGCCTGAAAGAATAGTACAAGGAGCTGTGGTCATGTAATGTAGTACATGTCTGAATACTAGCTTTTTTTGGTTTTTCATCTATAGAATGAGCTCTGGTGATTTCATGGTGAAAAATTGCTCTGCCAACTTGGAAGCATGTGGTTTGAATCTATCAGCTGCTCTTTGGGAGAAAGATAGGTAGCTCCTGTGCAATTAAAGGCCTTTGAAAGCGTGCTGGAAGGTCAGCTGAGTCAGTTCCAACTCAGTGTACATAACAACATCTACAGAATATAAAGAACAAGTTAAGAGAAATGTTTATTCAACATGTAAGTAAACATGGAAAGAATAGTTTGATAACATATTTTACTTTTCTTCCCTTGTAATGAGATTGTTCTTGTTGCTATGGATTGTAGGGTTGGAGCTGACTCGTAGGTGACACTTCAGTGGATTTTCAGATACAGTAAATCACAAGGGATGATATTGCCCATCTTTCTTCCACTGGTGGATTTGAACCTTTTACGTTTTAGTTAGCAGTGCAACTCCTTACACACTAGGCTATCAAAACTCCCTCTTAATGGGGTAGGTGTTTTAAATATCATTAGCTCATGACTTTGCAGATGAGAATATCCAGAAAGTCCCATAACACTTTTCTGTTGTCACAATGATAAATCCTTTAAAGGTATATTATTATTATTATTTATGGGAAGTATTTATTTTATTCATTGTGCTTACTCACTAATGTGCAAAATTAAAATTACTTTTCCTGATTTTGTGTTTACAGCAAGCCACTGATGTTGAAGTGGGAGCTGAACTCGTCCCTTCAGTCACAGTGAAGGTATAGTACCATGGTTTTAGACTGTTATGTGCAGGTATTATTACTAATGTCATCCTATCTTTCACTGTTTTCACTGTTGCCTTGGATAGTGAATAGGTAACCTTCATTGTTACCTATGTAGTTAAACTCTTAATCACATTATATCAGTGTGTATTTAATATAGGTATTTATTATGACTTAATGCTTTGGAATTGTGATGCTAGAGAAGAGTACTGAACATACTGTGAATCACCATGAGAACAAATAGGTCTGTCTTGGAGAGGGTGAAACTCTATCTCACATGCTTTGGGCATGTGGCCAGGAGGGGCTAGTCCTTGGAGAAGGATATCATGTTAGGAAGGGTGGAGGACAGTGCAGGAGAGGAAGACTCTGGATCAGATGGATTGACATGATAACTGGGGCATTGGGATTAAGTGTGTTAGAGTGTGTGAGACTGGCTCAGGATAGAGCCAGCATCAGATCTGTTGTACATAGGGTTGCTGTGAGTCCTAGGCAACTTGACTGCACACAACAACAACATACAGTTGTGTAAATGCTTAATTTAGTTATTTTAAGTGTACTAAAGGATCTTTGTTGTTACCATTCATAATAAACCAAGCAGTTGATTAAAGCATCACAAATAAGGCTGTGAAATGTCATCAAAGAGCATATGAATACTAATAATATTGCTCTTCTATTGATGATTGTGTTTGTTTCAAAGGAACTCCCAGTGTTTTATCTGCCATAATGTTAGCTTTATGGGGATGTGTTTATAGCAAAAATCTATTAAATGAAGAAGCCACAAAGTATAGTAGTGACAAGTTGATAGATCTGGAATGATAGAATATGAAGGATGTGGTTTTGGTTAAGATTTTTAGTATTGTCATTATAGAATTTTAGAACTTGAACACAAATGTGGAACCCTCTTACAATATTTAGATTAAAGTGTAGTAATCAGCACAGTATTAAGCTGAAAATATTTATCACTGCCTAGACCTTGGAAGTCAGGGAAAGTTGTGGATCTTGGCGATTTTGCTTAGTCAAAACTTGGATGGGGCTTCATATTTTCTCAGATTATGAGTTGATGTCCTTGGAGGAGCTTGACAGAGAAGCAGACTTTACCAATTGTGTTCGCTTACCCTGCTCCAGCGGGTGGGCCAAGTGTGGAGATCTTTGGTAGAAGCTGAAGAGAGCACAATTCTGTAACAGTTTCCTAAGCTAATTTTTTTGGATTCTTGCCATTAGAAACAAGGGTGGTCTTTTCCCAGTTCCCTTTCTCCTATCCAATCAAAGCTTCTATCTCATTAATACTTCTGAGTCTGGAAAAGCATTAGTGGCAAGAAATCAAACACTTAAAGAGAAAATATAACTGCAGGGTTCCAGGAATGATCTATAGACTTTTGTATAAGAAAACCTCTTTTATACCTGTGTTATACCGTTCAATTATACTGTTAAGGCATATACACATAACAATTCAGAAGTACAGTGTAAATTATAAAAAGAAATCTTGAACTAACATTGCTTGTACTAATTTTTTCCCTAACCTAGAATTTATTGCTATAAATAAATGCTCCTTTCCCCTCCATGTAATTTTTACCCTTCCATGTATAATAGCCACCTGAAGAGGATGACATGGCGTTCTTGGAGCATATTCCTTTGTTAGTGGAATCTCTAAATTTGAGAATGACTTGAATCACTGCTCTGTTTCTCATCACCATTTTAACACATGAGAGAAAAAATGTCCAATACACAAAATTGGTTGGACTTACATGGCAGACACAATGACTTCCTGATTCTGTCTGACAGTTTCTATACAAACTTCTGCCATAAATCTCTCCTTATAGCCATTTATAACAACAGCAGCCAAGATATATAACCATGCAAGTTTCCATCATAATAAATCCTTTTAATTGAGAAACGTTTTCCATCCGTTCCAAGTGAACGAAGATGTGGCTACCTTGAGTATGTGTGCATGATGCGTGACCATCTGTTCAGGCAGGGAGATGGGGCGGTTGTTCATACCTGGCCTTTGGAGTTATACATCTCGGATAAAAAGTTAAGATTATGTTTCCTAAGGATCATATTTCATTTTGTTAGAGGTGGAAAAATAGCATGGAAAATTCTCATATTATCGTTTTTATTTTCCTCTTAATATTCTATAATTATTTTTCTCTTAAAATATGACGTTTATGATCTAGCCAAGTCTTTAACTCTTTTTTTGGCTCAAACACAACTATTCTTTGTTAACTGTAGTTATTTTCATCACATACCTCCCTGATTCACAATTTGAAAAGGCTGAGCCTGTTGTTGGGGTTCAACAAATCTGTGTACGAGAGATAACACTATCATACATCTAAACCAAATGCAAACTCTTCTGAATTCTAACAATGTCAAACTGTGTGATCGTTGTCTAAAGAGACATCATCACTATGCCAGACAGAGTCAGAATGTCTGCTGTTTTACAAACGACTTATTAGTGCTTTAAGTGATTTTCATTTTCACTTTTGAAACTAAACCCTCATGGCATGGGGCTCGGCCACGATTTTCAACTGGAGTGTTTATTGACTGTATGGTCTTGTAGATGCTATTTAGCTTTTCTGAGCCTCTATTTCCTAAACTGTAAAATGAGGAATTTTTTTTTTTAGTTCTAGTGCTGTTTTGAGCCTCAGTCATAATAGGTTAAACATAGGCTCTGGATTCCTGTAGACTACATTTAAATTGTGATTCTTCTATTTCTAATCAGAGCAGCCTTGGGTAGATGATAGAGCCTCTCAATACTTAGTTTTTATCTTGTAAAATAATGTATTGCGGCGATACTTATTTATACTGTTTTGTAGATTAAATAAGAAAATAAACTGAAATAATCTATTATGATGGATCCTTGTATAAGAAAACTTCTAATGGTTGTTGTTATTATTGTTAATCTTATTTTAGAATATGTTCAACTCCTAGGATTATATTATTGTTATTGTTGTGTACCATTGAGTCAGAACTGACCCTCCGCTGACCCTATAATGGGTTTCTGGAAGCAATTAATGACACAAGAATGCCCATCCTTTTCTACTAGTTTGGAAATATAGCTGTTAATAGGGATATTCTTTGACACCATCTAGATTTGATTATTACACATGTTTCTTTGTTAAGTCATGGAATAAAATGCAGTATTGTGACATTTATATATACTACATACTTCTTCCTAGATACATTATGCTTAAAAAAATCTTTAGAAAATAATTAACTTATATATAAGCATTATACTGATTGGAAAAAGACTAATATTTCATTATAACACCATAACTATAGGTGAGAAAAATTAATATATGTATATATAATTTTCTTTCCTATTGTTATGGCATTATAATATTTTTGATATATATATATAATCTTTCATTTTATATATATATAATCTGCATTTTATATATATGTATATAAAGGGTAGGTGACTGCTACAAATATATGTATAATCTTTCATGATATGATTATTCAGTAGCCACAAAGAAAGATAAAATATGCTTTATTTTTGATAGAATAACTTTATTTAGATGATTCACAGTACACTTTATAGTCCACTCATCTAAAGTATTTAATGCTTTTTAGTATATCCCAGGGTTGTACAATCATCGCTATTATCTAATTTCAGAACACCTTTTATATTCCCTTAAAGAGACTTAGTACCTAGTAAGCATAACTTCCCATTCTGTCCCCAGCAATTGCTCAATTCTAGGCCTAGGTAACTACTCATCTCCTATCTCTCATTGTTTTATGTTCCATTGAGTTGACTAAGACTCATAGTGACCCTGTGAACAATAGCCCTGAACTCTACCCTATCCTGAGCCAATTTCATCATCTCTGATACAACTGTCCTCATTGCCACAGTCATTGTGTCAGTACATCTCTTCCTTTTCTGTGCTGACCCTCTGCCCTTCCACACATGATGTTTTTCTCCAAGGACTGGTCCCTCCAGGCAACATGCTCAAAGTATTTGAGATGAAGTTTCAAAATCCTTGCCACCAGGGAACAACCTGGTTTCACTCTCTCTAGGACAAACCTGTTTTTACTATTGCTTGTCCATAGTATGTTCAATATTCTTCTCCAGTACCATAATGTAAAGTCATTGATTCTTCTTCTGTCATCCTTACTCATTGTTTAGCTCTCAGATGCATAGCAAGCAATAGAGAAGACCGTGGTCTAGATCAGATGCAGCCCAGTCTCAGACTGATATAATTGCTCTTTAGCACTCTGTCAAGGTCCCTGACAGCAGACTTTCCTAAAGGAAGTTGTCTTTTGATTTCCTGACTGCTGGTGCTAAGAGTTGATTGTGGACCTGAGCAAGAAGAAGTTATTAACAGCTTCAATCTTTTCTTTATCTAGCATAAAGCTGCCAATTATAGATTTACTTATTCTAGGCATTTTATATACATGGGAAAATATATTAACTGATCTTTTGTTACTGGAGTTTTCACTTTGTGTAATGCTTTAAAGGTTCATTCATGTTGCAGCATTTATCAATCTGTCAATTCTTTTATTACTGAATAACATAGCGTTCTGGGACATAATGAATTTTATTTATCTATTTATCAGTTGATGGACATTTAAGTTGTTTCAGATTTTGACTATTAAGAATAATGCAGCTGTGATTAGTTGTATACTAGTTTTGAGTAAACATATGCTTTAATTTATTTCGGGTACGCAGCTTAGATTGGAATTTCAGATCATGTGATAAGTTTATATTTAACTTTATAATAAAGTAATGGAATATTTCCCTCATGACTGTACAATTTTTGAAAAGCAGATAGTAACAGAAGGATATAGACTTGTGTTTTATTTGCTATACAAAGGCATTTGACTGTCTCGAGTGAAACTTGTACCAAGATTAAGAAGCTATTGTTTGAAAAAAAGCAAGGGAACTCTCTGGTTTAAAATGAAAAAAGGTGTGCTTCAGGACAATATCTTTTCTACATACATGCTCAATCTTTATGGCCAGCAAATCATTCAAGAACCTGGACTTTATGAGGAAGAATGTGGCATCAGGATCAGAGGAAGACTCCTCAATAGCATATGACAAAACCTTGATTGCTGAAAAAGAGGAGGACTTGAAACTTTTGCTGCATAAGATCAAAGACTACAACCTTTAGTATGGATTACACCTCAACATCAAGAAAACAAACTTACTCACCATTGAGCCAATAGAAAACATTATGTTAGATAGAAAAAATATAGAAATTGGCAATGATTTTATCTTACTTGGATCCACAGCCAACAACTTTGGTCCTAGCTGTCAGGAAACCAAACGAGATGTTGCTTTGGGAGTCTTCAGCCAGAGACCAATTCGAAATGATGAAGAGCAATGATGTCAGTTTAAACCTAAGCTTAAGGTGTGCCTGATCTAAGACATGCTGTTTTCAGCTATTTGTTACGCTTCTGAGAGTTGGACCGTGAATAAAGATGGCAGAAGAAGAATCGGTGCCTTTGAGTTCTACTGGAAAAGAGTTTTAAATATTCCCTCGATTGCCAAGAAAGCAAATATGTCTTGGAGACAGTGCAGCCAGGGTGTTTCTTAGAGGGAAGGATAGTGAAACTTCATCTCACATACTTTGAGTATATTGTTAGGAGGGACCAGTCCTTGGAATGGGACTTCATGCTTGGAAAAGTGGAAGGTCAGCGAAGGAGGTAAAGAACTTCATTGAGAAGGATTGATAGATTCTGTGTCTACAGTAATGGGCTCAAATCTGGCAGAGAAGATGAGGATGGTGCAGGATAAAGCACAGTTCAGATCTGTTTATCACAGGGTTGCTATGAATCATAGTTGACATGATGGCACATAACAAGCACCACCAGCAGCAGCAGCTACAGCAATTTATGAAGTTCCTAGTTCTCTGTTTCCTTGCCAATACTTTTTATAATTTGTCTTTTAAATTAAAGCCACCGTAGTGATTTGCAAGCTCTAGTGTTGTAGTCTGTAAGGAGTTGCACTGTTAACCTAAAGGCTGCACCTCTCTGGTAGTTCAAATCCACCAGAGGCTCCATGCGAGAAAGACGGGCAATCTCTTCTCATGCTATGAACAGCCATGGAAACTCACAGGAGGGTCAGCTTTGAGTCAGTTCTGACATCATAATAATGAGTTTGAATTTTATTTTGGTTTTTTAGTGCTGTGCGGTTATGTTTCATTGTGTGTAGATTTAATCTGTATCTCTCTAATGACTAATGAGTCTCAGTATCTCTTAATGTGCTTTGTGGCCATATGCTTATATTTGTAGGGGAAAAGGTCTTTTAACTCTTTACACAATTTTAACAAAGTTGTTGTTGTAGTTGTTATGTGCCAGTGAGTCATCTGTGACTCATAATGACCCTATGTACAACAGCCCTAAACCCTGCTCAATCCTGTGCCAATCTTATTGTCTCTGACATAATTGCTCCTATAACCCCAGTCACTGAATCAGTCCATCTCATCAAGGGTCTTCCTCTCTTGTTCTATCTGACAACTCCCCAAGCATGGCATCCCTCTCCAACAACTGGTCCTTCTTTGCAACATGTCCAGAGTATGTCAGATGAAGCTTCAGAATCCTTGCCTCCAAGCAGCAGCCTGGTCTCACCCTCTCTAGGGTGAATCTGTTTGTTCTCCTAGAAGTACATGGTATATTCAATACTCTTCTCCAACACCACCTTAAAGATATCAATTCTTCTTTTATCGTCACTAGTGGTTGTCCAGCTCTCTGATGCATAACAAGTAATTACAAAGACTATGGCCTGTATCAGGCGCACCTTAGTCTCTGGACTGACATTGTTGCTCTTCAGTACTTTGGAGAGGTCTCTGACAGCTGACTTTCCCAATGCAATTCATCTTTAAATTTCCTGGCTGCTGGTACCAAGAGTGTTGATTGTGGAGCCAAGCAAACTAAAGCTGTTAACAATCTCAATCTCTTCATCATCTATCATGATGCAGTAGAACATTTTAAGCTATATGTTATATGGTTTCTGGATACTCATTTTATAGACCTTTGATTTTAAAAGTAATTGTCGTATTCTGATATTTTACTAACTTGGATGAAATGTTCTTCTCTATTAGTTACCATTTCTGTTTCTTTAGGTCACACTGCAGAGTCGACTGGCATTGCAGAAAGCCAAATTATCAGTTTATGTGCAGCCACCATTAGTACTGACCTGTGATCAGTTTACATTTGAATGCTTGGGTAAGTCTTTTGTGTTGGCTTATCATTTGCCCTCATGTGAGCATCCTCTCTCCTTTTATTGCAGTATGTTTTTATCCAGTCAAGAAGTTTATAAAAATCTTTGAATGATTGTGCTAGGTTTTGCTTGCCTTACATTTCCCCGTAAGTATGAATATTCAATTAACTGTTGAGTGGAATTGTTTTTTCAGGGTATATATTTCCAATTGCTTTCCTTAACTAGTTGAATCTGTAATTAATACCATAACTTAAAAGTCATTATGTATTAGTCTGTGATCTGAGGAAAGAGTATTGACTTTGGAGTTGGGACCGTATTTGAATCCTGGCTCTGATGCTCACTTGCTATGTCCACTTGGACTAAAACTGAACTTTGATTGACTTCATTCTGACCCATAGTGATGTGTTGCTGTTGAGTGGGGACTGACTCATAGGTCAGCCTCCGCTGGGTTTCCAAGGCTATAAATTGCAGGAAAGGAGAGATTGCTAGCCTCTCCCTGATAGAGCAGTTGGTGACTTTGAACCAGCAGAGAGATTCAACCTTTGGGTTATCGGTGCAACCTCACTCCCTATGAACTTGAATGAATGAATGAGTGGCTGACTGACTGAGGGAAGTAACTCTGTAGGTGATTTTCTATCATTGGTTTTTCATTTAATTTTCTAATACTTTCACAATACCTCCCAATTAATATTTCTGTGGCACATTCTGAAAAAATCATGTTTCTGAATCTTCTCTGACTTTCTAATTCAGGTCAAAGGCAAGTATCTTGCATTGAAGAACTGTTACAATTTGCTAAGTTATAATAGCTAATTATATAACCAGTCCTCTTCCATTTTCCCTTGCATTCCCTTTTTTCCCTCTAGACCTCATAAAATAATATTTGTTGTGATTTTCCTGCTTTTTTGCTAACCTATTTTTTCTGTTCATGCCTCTTGTCCTCTTGAGTAAAGAGAGCAGTGTTAGTAGAGTGATACTTGAGAGAAGGTGGTTTTGACGCATGGCCATAGTCCAGTTGGTTTCTAAGAGAATAAACCTTTATGGGAGGAGAATACACATTTTCCTTCTGAAAAGACATGGGTAAATTCTAATTGCCAGCCTTTTTTTTTTAGCAACATCACACACTGTGATAATAGCTGTGTGACCTTGGTCAAACTGCAATCTCTATAATCCAGTTTCTGCATGGAAAGACTGGGAGATACTTAGAGACTGGGGGTGCTCCTGTCTCTTGGGGGAGTGTATATGCAATGAGTGCTTAATACATTTTAACTATTGTTAATAATAGCTCAAATAATACAGTCTCTATTATTTTTGCATTGCTTGTAGCACCAGAAATGAATAGAACAGTAGCCTTTTCTGTTTATCTGAAAGGAAGTTATCTACCATCAGACTTGGAAGGAAATGCTGTTGTTTCATATTCCAAACCAACAGGTAAACATACAGTTGTTTATACCTTTAGAATCCTAATAACTCATTTTAAATTATTGGAGGTCTGAGATAAATAAGTGTTTAAAATGGAAAAGCCCACTTTAATATAGGAAATAAAAATAATTTTCAGTTTTAAATAAAATTACATGTTCACATTATTGCTGTCTGTTAAGATAAATTGGTTGTTGTACAATTTGATGGGTGGGGGGGTGAGAGAAATTGGAAGAATCTGTTCTGGAAAACAATGTATTAGAATTTTGAAAAGAAACTAGTAAAATAAAAAAATATGAATAAAAAAGAATTTTATAATGGGTAAATCCTAAAAAAGAAATCTCTACACATTTTATTTCATCTTTGCCATTAATAGCATATTGTATATATTTTATTTCTTCTAGAATGATATCTAGCAAGATTTAATTTGATTAAAGAGAAATAGAGGACACTTGCATTAAGGCCAAGCCCTTGTCTCCACTTTGGAGAAGTGGCTGGACTCTGTCAGATGGACTCCTTTGTTTTGTCTAAGGGTCATTGTGGAATGTTTAGGTTTCGTTGTTTTTTTGTTTTTTTTTTAAACTTAAGCCTCTAGTTTAGAGTTAACAAGACCTCCAGGAGGGCCCTTTTATTTAAAAGTTGGGCCCAAGGGATTATAGTTTAATCCCTTGTTGCCATATTTTGGAGGAACCTTTTTCTAAATCATACAGCATTCTTCTGTTAATTTGCTGTGCTGAGGTAATCTGGGTTTGCTGTGATGCTGAACCTTGTACCATTGGGATCTCAAATGCCAGAATGGCTGCCCATGGTGGACAGTGTTTGGTGGAGCTCCCAGTTTTAAGACAAGTTTGGAAGCAGCAGTAACATCCACTTCCTAAACCACGTGCCTCTGGAAACTCGATGAACTTGGAGTAACGATAGTTTATAGAAAGGCCTCAAGGTCTTTTGTTCATACAGTCGCTATGAGTTGTGTGCGACTTGATGGCAATCAACAGCAACAACAAAAGAGAAAAATCTAGTCTGATAAAGAATAAAGTGACACTAAAATGAATGTGTTTAAAGTTACAGACACTTTTAATGACTACAAGAACTCTTTAGATTCTTAAGTCATAGTCGACTTGACTGCATGTAACAATAACAGCAACTATCAATGATTTTACCTTACATGGATTAATAATAGCCAATTAGGCACCGATAGTTAGGATATCAGGAGACTTTATTGGTTTGAGCAAGTTTGCTGTCAGAGACCCTTCAAAATGCTGAAGATGTCAATTTGAAGACAGAATCAGGTGCGCCCGATTCTGGCCATCGTCTTTTCAACTGCTTGCTATGGCTCTAAGAGCTGGACAGTGAATTAGAATGACAGAAGAATTGTTGCCTTTGAGTTCTGGTGCTTGCAGAAGAGTACTGGAAATCCTATTGACTGCCAAAAGAATGAACAGATAAGTCTTGGAAAAAGTACAGTCAGAGTGCTCCATAGAGACAAGGATGGTGAAGCTTTGCCACTTAACACTTTGGATATGTTACTATTAGAAGCTATTTCTTGGAAAAGGATATCATGCTTGGAAAGATAGAGGGACAGCCGAAGAGAGGAAGACCCTCAGTGAGATGAATTGACATAATGGCTGCAGAAATAGTCTCAAGTGTGTCAAAGCTGATGAGGATGGCACAGGGTAGGACAGAGTTCAAGTGTGTTGTTCATAGGGTCACTATAAGTCATACTTAACCCACCAGCATCTAATAACAACAGTAACAACAATAACAAGTAAAATTTTGTCCATTTTTCTCAAAGAAACTTTTTTTTTAGATTGTAAAAGGTTATCTTTCAACTTCAGTTGACATTTGCTTATCATAAATTCTATCTTAGTGGAATATGATTTAATTTATGTATAGTGGATTATTTGTGCTAATAGTCAGATAATAAGTTGATTGGAGGAAAATTACTGGTCGCTGTTTGTTAAACATCTTTTCAGTGTGGTGATTACTTATAGAAAATGCCACAAATGTGTATGTTCTTTAAACATTCTTGTCTGATTTTCTTAGTTTTAAAATATTTTTAAATATCTTATTTTTCCTTTCCCCCTTTTATATTTTATTTATTTGACAATATTTTTAATAACTGACAGAAATTTTCTTTTGTTTAAGTGAACTTTCTGGCATTTGTATTGACAACTCTAAATAGTCTAGAGTGATTTTATTCTTTTTGTATATACATATAAAATCTATATCTTCTACTTTATAGGATTTTTTCTTTGAGTTTTTTAAAAAATGTATTTCTGCCAGAAGTGATCCCCTTAACTATATAGACATGTTTTTTAAAACATTTGCATTATATGTTTATTCTTATTTTTTTATGTATTTTTTTTATTACTATTAAATTTTATTAGTTTTAATGAACATTTACAGGGATTTTGGGTTTTCATTCCTTCATTGCTGCACCATTCTCTCTACCCTCCTCCGCAGTTTGTTCTTCTTCCCCGCCATCCGAATGTCTGTTTTAATTGTCCAGTTGCCACAGTGCTTGTCAAAGTCAGTTCTGATTAAT